CTTTGTGTGGTGTTGAATCAAGCCCTTGCCTTTTTCTGCCCATTAGTCGGTTCAGAACAGACTGAGCTATAACACCGGGATACTGCCACCCATACCGAGAACGACGATTAACTTAATGTATGGGCCAATTAATCGCATCCATTTACTGAGCTCAGTGCTGCTGTTGCTGCTGGCCTGAATTCTCACAGGAAATAACCATGACACTGCCACGCCCAAACTTTATTCAAATTCGCTCGTCAAAATTTCGAGGTATTCCGTCTTTGCTCCTGTACAAAGGAATAGACTAGGCTTGGCAGACCTGCTTTCATAGGTAGTCGTATGTGGAACCGAACCATTGGGTACGTCATCGAAGCCGGCTAGACTAAACACGATAGCAGTTGCCGCTAGAACAGGTAATCCTTCATGGCGCATCTTTTGTCGTTTTTTACAAGGACCACAATTGTTTGGCGTGACAGCAGACCGTCTCTGCGCGGGTTGGTAGCCTTCTGATCGTATGGGGCCACCGGCGCGCCAGGTTAAGCCTACAAACTTGTGCCTGGCGGTGGTAACTTCGGCCAGGCAAAGTCGAAAGGTTTTTGGGTCGCATGCTTGATCCAGAATGGGTCCCCTCAAGATAAGTGGCTGTTAGCTGGAGGGGGTAGGTAATTTTCAATGTCAGGCTACTGTCGAATAAGCCGAGAAGAGGCGACCTCTTTACTCATATCGACACTGCTTTCCGTTTTTTAACCCCTAAAAAGAGTCAATATTGCCACGAAAATCTGCGTGTACCGGGCATCCTTCCTCTCGGTTCTCCTGTAAACTTGTGAATGTGCGTGGAAGATGAGCGATAACTGGAGGCGTTTGACCTCCTCTGTCTGAAAACCACTGACTTAGTCTGTCAATGAGGCAATCTGTACTCGGTGTGAGACCACATCGTGAGCATATGTCAGGTCAAAGAAGAAATAGGACTGAGGTGGTTTGGTCACCTTTTTCTATTGCTAGATTGATGTTCACCGATCGGTTACGAGACCCGCTCGTCCCGTCGTTCCTTAGGACTCATTCTCGTGCCCCATCAATAGCCGCGCAACTGCTAGTAGACAGAATAGCATTACCGCTTTATGGGCTCAGTGTTGCTGCCCTCGTTTGGCTACCGACGCCCACCTGGAGGCACCAAAAGGGGAGAGAAGGGTCGACCCCAAACCTGACCTTACAAAACTTACGAAGACGGGGTAGTGGCTCCTGGACCTGCTGTATTCCGTCTCCGTTGTTGGAGGCGAGAATCAGTCGAGCGCTTCAGCTTCTATGCTTCCAGGGGCTACGCGGGGATAGGTACAGTTCGTCACATGATCGAGGCAGTCCGACACATACACGCCGCGTTGGCAACCAGGTTGGTCACATGCTTCCGGGATTCCTCTCGTTTCCGGGCTGGTGATGCAGAGCGCTAGGGGCTTTGGTGTGGGCGAAGGAACAGGAGACCCAGGCACCATCGGCCGCAAATTTCCA